TGAGCAGTTACTACTTGGTTGTGTTATCTCACTGAATCCACAGTCCTACTCACAAGGTAACTATTGTCATCCTCATTATAGATGAGAAGCAAGGCTGCGGGAGGTTAAGTAATCTGTATGATAAGTAACTGATAGAAGCAGGATCCAGGGCCTGGGCCCTTTCCAGGGCCCCATGATGCTACTTAAACTATCTTAATTTTAGACACTGGAGAACTGAGGGGGGTGGAGCAAAACTGGCCCCAGAGTCAGGGGGTACAGTGACTAAGGGCTAGGTCCCAACTGAGAAGTGGACTTCACTGCTGCCTCGGGACCTGCATAAAAAGCAAAGCTCTGGCCTTTGGGCCAATTGTGGAGGCTCCAGTCTCCTAATCCTAAGGAGGTCTAGGATATGTTGCTCTGGGGACAGCAAACATGCTCCTAGCTAAATATAGTTTTCCTGGGCCTCATAACTTTCTAATTCTGTCTAAGCCAGAGCTATCTGCCAGCCAGTAGTACAGACACACTTCCCTTCTCCCACCAGAGCTTGACCCTGGAGGCTAGCACAGTCTTTGCTGCTAAAGAATTAGAAGAGTTTATTTATTCCAAATTTGGGAAGGGGAGCCAAAGACCCAAACCCTCAATTGGAGAGAAATTACAAAGCAGGAATTTTCTCTCTGAATTATCCTGGGGTGATCTCTTCCTCTTTTGAGTCTTTGAGGTTACCCTTTCCAGCTTCATATTTAATGCTTCTGCAACTCAGAGAGCAGAATATTGGTGGGCAGAATGGAGAGACCAGGGGCCTGTGGGAGCATGACTGACTGGAATCCCTCTGATTTGGTTCATAAACTGTATGGACACTTATGCAACTTATGTAATACTCCTGAAGGTGTACCCAAGAAATGTTCACACATAATGCAGTGGGAAGTTGTTGGGCAGCTGGGGACAGAAAAAAAATAGGCATTTGAAGCTTTCTGTCTTCTTGAGTAGGGACCATAGTCTCTCAAGGCTGAAAAAAGCTGGGGCACATAATGAGTGCTGGTGTGAGCAATAGGCTGATGATATTCCATAGATTACCTGATTGTTTTATTTTATTTTTTTGAGAAATGTTCCAATTCTTCTCACAAGCATTTAAATGACTCTGTGCTGAGTCCTAGAGATATCAGCTGACCAATAAGAGAGTTGAAGAGGCAGAGACATAATTGATAAGTGGTGCACTGAATCACTTGTTGATTGTGTTAGGTTTTCCAGGGCTGCCATAACAAAGTATCACAGAACAGGTGGCTAAAACAGCACTAATGCATTTTTCACAATTCCAGAGGCTAGAAATCCAAGATCAAGGTGTCAGCAAGACTGGTTTCTTCTGAGGCCTTGCTCCTTGCCTTGTAGATCTCCCTGTGTCTGTTCATGGTCTTTCTTCTGTGAGCAAAAATATATCCTATGGGGAACCAATCATGTTGTATTAAGTTCCACCGGTATGATCCTACTTCAACTTAATTATCTTTTTAAAGACCATATTTCCATATACAATCACATTTTGTGGTATTGGGGGTTAGCCCTTCAAAATATGAATGGGAGGTTAACCCCTAACATTGATTGGAAAGTGTTTGTGCTGAGCAGCCCACATTTGTCCTCAAATCCACACCCACCCTCTGCCATTCTTCACCTTGCTCTATGCCAGAGGAGGCTGACTTCTATGATAGCATCCTCTAACCCCTTGCTGTTGGACTGGGGATGTAGCTCAGATACAGTGCTTGCCTAGCGCACATGAGGCCCTGGGTTCAATCCTCAGTGCTGAAAAAAAAAAAAAGAAAAAGTGATGATCCAACTGTTTGCTCCCTGCTTCCAGATGGACTCCAGTTGGTACTGCCAGTGGGAGGAGCTGGCAGAGGGCTGGAAAGGTAGGAGAAGGATGCAGTCAGCCTATATTCCCCTGGCTCCCTCCCTGCACTGTCCAGGAACATAAAGTCTCAGCCCCTCTGGGCAGTTCTTTATGCAGAGCTCTCTCACATCAGGTGCAGCTCATGCACTGTGCCCTCCATCATTAGCCATGGGGTCTCAGCCATCTCTCCCTTCTGGCTTCCCACATCTTTGTAAATAGCGCCCTATTTAAGTAGTGCATGCTAATTTATCAAACAAAAAGAAGAGCATCCCCAGTAGTGGAAAACCTTTGAGAAGTCAAAATTCCAGCATATTGAGGAAATCTTGGATACTGGTACTCACCTATCGTAGAGAGCTAGGATCCGGGAGCAATTAACTCATTGCTTTAAAAGGGAGGAAGCAATAGTATATACGTAATACATAGTGTAAAATTATGGGTCTGATTACAGGTCTGCTGAGTCCCGGGACAAAGAGGGCAAAAGAGGTAGAAGTGCCTTTTCTTTATATATAGATATAGATATATAGATATAGATATAGATGGACAGCATGCCTTTATTCTTTATTTATTTTTTTATGTGGTGCTGAGGATGGAACCCAGTGTCTCACACATGCTAGGCAAGTGCTCTGCCACTGAGCTACAGCCCCAGTCCAGAAGTGCCTTCTCTTTTCTCCAAGCTGTTGAGCTCTGCTCCCTCTCGTGGATGAGCACTCCCTGTGGGACACTCTCTTCTACAGCCCTCTACATATTCAGCCAAGCTGCATGAATGCCCTGACCTGCTACCTCCTTCCCTAGGCTTCATTCCCCCACAACTCTGTTTCTTGTCTGAGTCTGTCTAACTGAGTCTCTTTGAAAATGCAAACTAGGGCCTTTATCTCTGCCTGCCTTAACCCAGCCTGCTGGTTGGCCTGGAGCTGGCTCTTAGAGTTGCCCATTGAACAGCAGGGATGCATCAAGCCAAGTTAGGACCAATGAGGATGCAATGATCCCAACTCTGACTTGGTGCCTGCCCACAGCTGGCTCACCCTCTTAGGTCCAGTTTTCCTTTAAGGGCTTCCCCAGATGCACTGCCAGAGAGAAAGCTGTGGTTGGGTGGAAATAGTCACCCACCCCACCTTGCACTGGATATCAAGGTCTGGGTCTTCTCCACTTCTCCCTGTCCTCTGTGCCTCACTGACAGATCTTTTTGACAATCCTCTAAGCCTCGGCCTTGCCGTCTGTAAAATGGAGATAATCATAGCACTCACATCTCTGAGCCTCAGAGAAAAGAAAGCCTTATTACAAGAAGACAGTGGGTTAACACCTGCAAAGTGCTTAGAACAGTGCCTGGTGTCTAATAACAGCTCAATAAATAGAAGGGATGATAACAATTCTGACTATGAGCAACAGTGTCCTACAGTTAAATCGCATATAACAATTTGCAAGGTATTTTTACTTGGCTGCACACTCTTTTCTTCACCAAACAGGGGCTTGCCTCCAAGGAGAATTCAGTTAAGAGCTCAACACTTTAAGTCAACACGTGCCCTGTAAGGTCTGTATCACCTTGGCTCCTTTCTGTATCCAAGGAACCAGCTGGGCATGGAGCAACCATCTGATCTTTTACTGTTAGAATTAAAAGTCAATTAGAATCACTCTGTGGTCTTTTGCATCCCACTAAGGATGAAACCCTCTAAGACAGATAATTTGGGGATGCT